CCCCCCCCCCAACTTCTCCAGGCGCCAGGGGAGCTCAGAGCTCAGGATCCTGGGGAAAAGCACAACAGCTCCTCTGCAAAGGATGTCAGGAGACTTGCAAACAAGACAAAACTCACCTACACCAGCCTGCAGGAACATGTGCTCAGAGCCTCACCAAGAAGTACGGTTGACCCCTTGTAGTTTCCTAGTTGTTTTTCCCTCCCTCCTTTCTCCCTTCCTCCCTCCCTCCTCTTCCTCTATCTTCTTCCTCCACTTCTAATTATTTGGTACACCTTCTCTCAGAGGTCATTTATAATCCACCCACATCGAAATCACACATGCTCCTGAACTCGGCACTTCTGTGTTGGTCCTGTGGCTCTTGCTCCTGCTGGCGGGCACCGGGTCGAGCTGGGCACAAGAACCCTGAGTGCCGGGATGAGAGATCCACAGGCACGGTAGGGGGGATGGGACAAGTCCCTGTCAGGGCCTCTGAGAACAGAAGGCTGAGCAGCTGTCAGAGCGAAGGGGTCCGAGCTCTATAAACGCTGGGGGGAAGCTCTCCAAATACATTAGGTCACAGAGAAAAGTGCCTGAGTATGAATACTATGTTACTCCTTGGGTAAAAATAAAAGAGTGGGGGCGGGAAGGGGATTAAGCAGCAATGACAGTGTTTTCTTTCTTAAAAATAGATCTGAAATAACTATTGTAATCTGTCAGCATTTGTAAGATCTGGGTGGTAAGTTTGCAGTTACTGTTACACAGTTTTCTGTTTCAAATCTTGTTTGAAATATTGAATAAAATAACAAAACGGGGCAGGGGAGAGAGGAATGGGAGGAACACAGAGGATTTTTAGGGCCGTGAAAATACTCTGTATGACATTAGAATGATGGATATGTGATTACACATTTGTCCGAATGCACAGAATGTCCAACACCAAAGAGTGACCTCCCCACCCCCGCAAGGCAAACTATGGACTTTGGGGTCATTACAGTGTGTCCCCGTAGGTCCATCCTTGGTAAAAAAAAAAATGTTACCCTTCCGGTGACAGATGTCGATTATGGGGGAGGCCGTGCATGCATGAGGTAAGCAGTATATGGGAAATCTCTGAACCTTCCCGTCAATTTTGTTGTAAGCCTCAAAGTCCTCCGAAACAAGTAAAGTCTTTTCAAAAAAAAAAAAAAAAAAAAAAAAAAAAGTAACAAAACTTAAGTGGAGAGATATCTTCTATAAATGCATTTATTCTTGTAAATAATGGCAGCTAACATTTTCATAGTGCTCCCATGGGCCGGGCATATGTTAACTCACTGAATTCTCCCAACAACCCTGTGGGGTAGGTCTCTTATAATCCCCCTGTATAAAGAGGAAACTGAGGCTTGAGAAGTACGGTGTACGACTTGGAACACAACGCTAAGGAAGTCAGAACTTGAACCCAGGCAGCCTGGCCCCAACGTCTATGCTCTCAACCACCAGGCTTCACTCAACAGCCCGGGAAGGTAGAGTCAGGGATGCTGAAGGGAAGTGTACTTTTTACCGAACAGCATTTTGAACTATTCGAATCTTTAACATGTGCACCTGTCACGATTTTTCAAAATGGTATTTTAAATAAGTCCCAGCCACTAAGAAATAGAATCCTGACAGGCGTGGGGCTCGGAGAGATGGAATGGGACGTCTTCTCAGAGGCTGAGGAAATGCTCTAAAGCCACCGCAGAGATACTCCCTGTGTGGACACAATTCCTGCTTCTTTTCCATGTTGCAGCAGTTCTGGTCCTGGGGCCCCATCAGTGTCTGCCTGCTTAGCACCCTTCCTCTCCTTCCTTCTGGCACAGACCCCGCCCCCTTGCTGCAGGTTGGACATGTGACCCCAGGTGGGCCACGGGGATCGGCCCAGGAATCAGTTCCGGCTCTAAGCCTGGCCAATCAGCAGCCTGCCCTGGGCTTCCCGGGGCAGAAGATGCTTTTCCACGTGGTAATGGGGCTCAGAGGGCCAGCAGCCCCCTCCCGGTGACCCAGTGGTGGAAGTATGAACCCAGAGAGGGAGGGCTTCATTCAAACCCTGGCTCCTCTCCTCTCCAAGCCAGCTGCTTCCCTGCCTTCCCTGCTTTGGTTACATTCCCACTGAGTTGGATGCTAATAGAAACCCACAACTCAAAACAAGGGAAGCCCTGACCCAGTGGTTAAGCACTCCAGTGGTTAAAGGGATCACGGGGAGGGAGGGGGGGATGGGGAGACTGGAATCCCAGCTCTGCCACCTGCTGTGTGATCTCAAGCAAGTTAGTTAACCTCTCTGAGCCTGATGTGCTCCCCCAGCTCACTATCAAAACCAACTCCTTACCAGCCACATTAAACCAAAACCAGAGGCTCTGGAAGAGGGGGTGCCAGCTGGCAACCAGGCAGCAGAAAGGCAGGCAGCTGGCCACTCCTTTTTTTGTGTCCCTCCACTCACTGTCTGCCCTGAAAGAATGTCCATGTGACCCTCAGTGACAGCTCTCTGGCCCCACGGCTCCCAGTGGCTTCAGTCAATGGGGTCTCGATAGGATGCAGGGCAGGAAGGAGTGAAGCCAGGATATCCATCATATTTCTCTGTAGGGTCCCCATAGGCTGGCTGCATCCCAGAGTGAGGGTCCCTCACGGCTCCTTCAGGGGGCCCCCCCAGCCCCACCCCTCTGCTGCTGAGGATGACACCCCCCCTCTCTGCTCCACTGCAGGGGCAGGAGCCACCCCACACATTGCTAGCCCCTGATCCTGCACTCTTTCGAAACGGAGGCTCTGCCCACAGTTCATAAATATTCCCTCAAATTACCCAACGTGTGTGTCATCTGTTTTTCATGGGACCCCGACTAGTTGCCAGTGGTCCTTTTCCTAGTCTCTCCAGGCCCTTATCAGATAAAATCCTGCTCTGTGGAGGACACTACTCCAGGGTCCCAGCTCCAGCCACTGTCCTCATTTCCCTCCAAGCTTCTAGACTCCAGCAAGCCTCTCCCAATCTGCCAGACCCCAAACCCCAAAAAAGGACCTGCCAATGAGAAGCAAGTGACCATTCGCATCTGATGGAGAGTGGTCCGAACAGGAGGCACACAGGGTCACATCTGGGGTCAGGAAATATCTAGAGAAGTAAGCCACTGATCTCTGCACACCAGAACAGGTACCTGAGAGTGTATATTTATCGAAAGATACATAGAAATGGACAGATGGCACCTGGGTGTAGATACAGGAGCTCCGATAGAGAACCGTGTAGGAACGTGTGTATTTGCCAGTGGCAGAACACGAGGTCTCTACATCTTCGGCCACAACCAACAACACACAAGCGCCTGATCTTGGAAAACCACAGTTGTTTCTGTGGTTGGGTTCCCTCTCCAGAGGTTTCCAAAATGAGAAGGCTGGTTTTGGGGACAGTCTTTAAATATGTGTGTGTATCTTTCTAAAGAAGAGAGAAAAGCGGAAGGGAGGACCGGAAGCGTATTTTCCTGTTGTGCATGGCAGAGAAGAGGGGACCGGTTCTGGGCAAGGACGTGATCCCACTGGAAAGGCGTGAAAGAGAACGCCAGAAAGGACAGCTAGGGTTCCTAGGTTGGGACGTAAAAAACCACGACAGCCAGGAAGGTCATGCGTCTGCAGTCCGCTGAAATCCCTTGTAGCACGTTACAATCAGTTAAGGGCAAAATAAAATCAGAATGATACTAAGAGGTAGCAGCTGTTTATCTTCTCGGAGATTTCGAGGGTCTCTGGAAGCGGGCCAGGTAAGGGCGTTCTCCTGGAAGAGACTGGGGTAGGGCACCGTTCTGGCCGGGGGCTCCCCCAGAGCTGGGACGGGCGTGGGCCAGCCTGCGTGGAAACCGCAGCTCGGGAGCCCGCGCGAGCCTCCGCCGGTCGACAGGCCAATTCCAAACCCAGAGTCATTTCTCGGGTAAAGTTATGCAGTCCTCACAACATATAAATAAAAGTTTAGTTCTGTGTTTCCATAGATCTTCTACATGGAGGCTAGCTGAATATTAGTGGAGTAACAATAATTATTAATAACAATAATCATCATCATAACAATAATTAATAGAATAATAATGCCTGGGTGGGCAGGGGGAGGGGGGTCCTTCATATGGCAGGGCGGGGCTTCCTGGGGAGGGGTCTATGTCTGGTAAAAGTGGTGGTAATGGTGGTGGTGTTCGTGGTGGTGGTGATGTTCGTGTCTCTGCACCGCCTGGCCGGCCGGGCTCTCGTACACCACCACAGCGGGCAGGTCCCTCACGCGGTCCCGCCCCGCGACACTGCCGCCCACGGCCAGCGGCACCTGCGGCCCCCGGCACCCCTGCTGGCTCTCCTTGGCTCGGTGCTTGTGCTTCTTGTGCCCGAGGGGTGCCAGAGTGGGGAGGAGGGCCGGGCTGGCGGCCAGCTGGGCGGCCGGGGACACCGCGGGGACGGCGGGGCCCAGAGGGGGCTTGCTTCTTGCCCCTCTGGCCACGTGGCCCGCACCCACGCTCTTGCCCTGGGCCTTGGGGGACCTCACAAAGTGCTTGCTCCCATCCTGGGTGCCCCGGAGCCGCTGCTGGACCTCCGAGACCTTGGCGAATGGGGCGTCAAGGAAGTGGAAGGAGCCCGGGTCCGCGCCTTGGGGCTTTCGGTGTGGGACGTGGATGGCTTCTGGCTCATGGGAGCGAGACCGAGTGGGGTTGGAGGTGCGGGGGGGCAGCTCTGACTTCTGGGCCACTGACGGGGAGCCTAGGAACCAATTTAACAGATATTTCATGAGCACCTACTGTGTGCGGGTGCCGCACTGTGCCCCCAAAACCACGCCCACGCCCAGTGCTCCCGGAACACTAACTGTTCTGACAGCTCCTCTCGCCCCGCCCCCCCCAGCCCTGACTGCTCCACGCTGCCTTGGAGGAACCTCTCTGGAACGGAACTTTGCCATCTGCTAAACGGGAAGAACTGTTTCTTCGTCGGGTCCTTAAAAAGAATTCATTCCCCTTCCAGGAGACGGACGAGAAAGAGAGACAGAGACCCTGCTACGAGTCCGAGGTCATGGGAACACGAAGGAAATTCAGGCATCTTCCTTCACTTACAGAGGTGATAGACACAGGAATTACACGTGGGAGGAAGGGGAGAAGGGGTGGGGGTGTGAAATGAAGTGGGCCGCCTCTTCATTTATTTCAGCAAGGCGTCAACACATGTCAACGGCTGAGGAAGACAGAGCAATGGCAAAGGGCCTGGGGTAGGGGCACAGAACTACTGTGTTCATTGCATTGTAGGCCCCAAGATGCTCTTTGATTTTGTTCAGCTTTGTGCACGTGTTAGTCTTTTAAGTGTTTTTAATGTCATCTCCTCCCAGAGGACTCTGTAACCCGTCCAATCAAAGCTGTACCTGCCCCCAGCCCAGGGGCATGATGAATGCCCCCCACCCCACCCCACCCTGCAGGTGTAGGAGCTCCCTTACCAGGCCCGAACTGGGATGTGTAGTTCTCTATCCCGGCGAGATCTAAGTAGTGGTTTCTCCTCTCAATGTTCTCGTCCACGCAATGGTGGTCGCAACCAGACTGCTCCAGACGGCTGTCCCCCTGGAACCTATGACAAGGAAGCAAGTGAGTGGGTGGGCAGCAGCCCCCCCCCCCCACCTGGGGAGCCACCAGGAGGAATCCTTCTGAACTTTCCATTCATTTCCTTCTGGGTCTTGGGAAGGGGGGTGAGGGGAAGGGAGTGGTCATCTCGGCAATCTGTGTCTCTATTTCCTTCCCTGACGGCGGAGATAAGACCTCTTCTGGCCTCCCTGGGCCTTCTGGGAGGACCAGATAGGTATCTGCTTTGAACAGATCCAAAGTAAAGGTGAGAGGTTACTGGTCAAAGCTTCAGGATGCCCCGAAGTCAGGCTTCAAACCATGTGTGCCCATTGCAGACAAGAGGCCTAACTCCTCTTAGGGCTGGAGCCCCAGAGGGTGTGGACGGAAGCTCCCAAGCCATTGCCGCAGAGGGTGGCAGGCTCTGTACCCTGCCCCAAAGCCCAGAATGGGCCTTACCAGTGTGTGCGTGTGTAAGAAAGGGGGTGGGGACAGAGGTGCCCCCAGAGGCCACAGTTCTCCCACTGCGGGAGCCTGGGTTCCCTGCCTCTCCCCTCCAAGGCTCTCTGATCTGCCAGCCCCACCTCCCTCACCCTCCCCACTCCCCAGCACAGCTAGCCTGTATGCCCAGATGCCTGGATTCCCAGCCCCCTCCCCACAACAAGCCTCGGCCCCTGCTTGGACTGCCTTCTCTCTCTTCCCTCTGGGTTCCTGCTTCTCACATTCCGGCCACTTCCTTTCCATTTCACAACAGGTACAGACACCCCGCCCCTGCCTTTCTGGGCCACTGAGGCCTCCTCTCGCCTCCTATACTGCCTGCCGTTCCTCTCTTCTCTTCCCTTACCTCCCTGCAGTTAACAAAATAACAACAGGCGGAAGAGAACTGCGGCCTTAGAGTTTCTTAGCCATGATTCTGAAACCCAAAAAGCCTGAAGACCGAGACTGCTCATGACCTGTCAGGCAGCCATGCTGCCCTAAACGGATGTGAAGGTAGCCGTAGCCTTTCCATCACTTCATGCGGACAGTGCCGCGGCTCCGTGCGGAAATGTCAGTGCGCTAAATCCCAAGGTGCTGCCCAGACACCACACAGAATACGTAACTACGCCGAGAACACCTTGTCTCAAACCCGGCGAATGCTGAATGCCAAAACATCTTGAGCCCAAAGCGTTTGGGACAAAGGAATGCGGACCTATATTTGGTTATTTTTAAAACCTCAGCTTGATTTGTGAGCCTGTCCTCTGAAGTCACTGCCCTCCCCCCACCCCGCCCCGAAGAGAACACAGTCGGGAGCCCTCCCCCCCACCGCCGCTCAGGCGGCACACAGCTGGCGTTCCATATGTGCTCAGGTGCACTGGGCTGCCGTCCACCCTCCCGCAACCGGTGTACCTGAGCGGGGCTCGCTGCTTCTTCTCCCAGCTGCGCAGCTCCTCGGTGGGCTTGGTCTCCGCTCTGGGCCTCGTGCTCTGCAGGTCTGAGTCCCGCCCGAGAAAGAGCCGGGTGAGCGGTTTGCTCTTGCGTCCGCCAGCTTCCTGGCTCTGCTGGGGTTTTCTAAGCTCCCTGGCATGCAGCCCTTGACAAGTGGCCCACGGCAGCTCGCCGTGGCTCTGTGGAAGGGGTTCGCCAAGCCAGGACCAGACAGGGGGGTCTCGCGGCTACTTGTCCCCTTACCGTCTCCCCGGCTAGACTCCCCTCCTCCCCAGGCTCCTCAGCTGACATTCAAGGCCATGCCCTGCCCAGGCTCATCACAACACAAGCCTTCACTGTAGCTGCAGCTATGCCCACGCGCCCCTCCAGGGCTTTGCCTCCACAGGGCCCCCCACCTGTGATCCCTTCCCTATCCAGATCCTGCTCTTTCAAGGACCCGCTCAAATCCCGCCTGTCCACAGAGTCGCTCCCAGTGGAAACCCCCAGGACTCGCTCCCGCTCCTCCCAGGCAGGGGTGTGATCCTTCCGAGAGCTTGCAGTGGACTGGCCCCTGTGGCCCGGGCGGCCCTCCAACCCCTCACCAGGGTGATTGAGAAGGATGCCCTTCTTGCCCTGGCTTCCATCGGGGGCCACGGTGAGTTTCACCCTCAGGGTCTTGCTCGACGTCGGGGAGTGGTTGACGGAGGAATCAACCACCTCGTAGATGGTGTGCAGCAGGCTGGTGATGTCCTGCAGGGGAGCGAAGCAGAAAGGCACCCGGGGCTTCAGTCTCAGTGTCTTGACAACCCAGGAATCAGAGGGCCCGGTGAAGCCCCCCCGGCTCCCCCAAAGTCAAGACGAAGGCACAAACTTGCACGTGAGAGGTTCATTTGAGAAGGGGTCCTAGGACACAGAAGCAAGGGGACAGCAAACAGTGGACGCCCCGAACGAGCAGGTATGGCCGTGGCCAACCAGGCTCAGTCCACTTGGGCCCTCGGAAAGACTGTGTGGAACCCACCTCGGCAAACTCCGTCCCTCGGTGGTTGAGAGTTGCCCCCCCCACCCCCACCCCCACCCCAGGGATGCTCTAGCCCCTGGGCTTCCGGGCTGTCTTGCAAAGGCTGAGCCGGCTCCCGGGCACCAGAGAAAGGTCTTATGGCGGGCACTGTCCACCACAGCAGCAGGTCAACCTAGAAGCAGGTCAGCGATCTTGCTGGGAACAAAGGCACCCACAGCACCTGCTTCAGGTCTGGTGAGCTCCTTCTGAATGCAAATGGAAAAGCAGATGTGTCCCTAAAGATGAAATACCCTGGGAGAACTTGAGCAAATCTCATCTTGTCTCTGGGCCTCAAGCTGTCCCCTCAGCCAGAACACTGGTGTCCAACCCATGCTCCGAGAAACATCTCAGACGCTTCTGACCGGCGAATGCAGGGATAAACGGGGTCTCCCTTTGTTCTGGGCATCCGCTAAGGTCGTTTATCTGAGGCGGGGCTTCCGGCTTTACATGATGTAGGAAACCTCTGGAAGAGATGTCTGCTCTCTATAGGTCAGGCCCACAGAAGGCCGGTTATCTGCCCTGCGGCTCTTCGTAAACACAGACGGGCTCAGCCGTCGCTTCATTCCGTACCCATCAACGGTGCCTCCCACTCACCACAGCTGACTTGCCCTGTGGCCATGCGAGCTGAGTGAGGGTCACCCCGGAGGTCCAGAATCTCCTGCTAAATCTTCGGACTCTTTGATACTGGATAATTCTCATTTAGTTTTTCTCAGCTCCCCACGTCCCCACCTCCCCAGCCCCTGGCGACCACCATTCTACCCTCCGTCTCTAAAACAAGCCATTCCGGGCGATCGCACGGTATTTGCCTTTTTGTGACTGGCCTTGTCATTTTAGCGGAAAGTCCTGGAGGTGCGCCCACGTTGCAGCACGTGTTAGAACGTCCTTCCTTCTTAAGGCTGAATAATGCTGCATTGTGTGGATGCGTCTATCCGTTCATCTGTGGACGGACCCTTGGGTGGCTTCTGCCTTTTGGCTGTTGTGAAGAACGCTGCTGTGAACACGGTGCGCAAGGATCTCCTCGAGACCCTGCTTTTGGGTGTGTACTCACAAGTAGAATGGCCGGGTCCCGTGGCGATTCTGCGTGTCGTTGTTCGAGGAGCCCCCGTGCTGTTTCCCAACTCCAAGCAGTTACATCGTCTCACACCCCCACCAACAGCACGCGGGGTTGATCGTGCCCCTTCCTCAGCGACACTTGCTCTTTTCGGTTTGGGGTTTGTTTTCAAACTTTTTTTAATGGTTTTTTTTAATGTTTATTTATTTTTGAAAGAGAGGGAGAGCGAGAAGAGAGAGAGGCAGAGGAGCCGAAGCAGGCTCCGTGCTGACAGCAGAGAGCCCGACGCGGGGCTCCGACCCACGAACCGTGAGATCACGACCTGAGCCGAAGTTGGACGCTCAACCGACTGAGCCACCCAGGCACCCCGTTTTTGATGTAGTCAACGTATCTATTTTTACTTTCGTTGCCTGCAATAACTTAATTTTTTTTTTATGTTTCTTTTTGAGAGAGAGAGTGTGTGTGTGTGAGCAGGGGAGGGGCAGAGACAAGTGTGGGACAGAGGATCTGAAGCCAGCTCTCCGTTGACAGCAGCGAGCCCAACACGGAGCTCGAACAAATGAACCGTGAGACCATGACCTGAGCCGAAGTCGGACGCTCAGCCGACGGAGCCATCCAGGCTGATAACTTAATTTTTAACAAAACCTTCTGGGGGGCTGGGCTGGAACATCTGTGGAAGCGGCCAATTTGAGACCCAGTCTTGCTGGCCTGCTCAGCAATCCCACCTCCTCTGGTGAGGCCCACAGGGGACTCCTCTTTTCTTCCCTAGGGCTGCTCTGCACAGCCACGTTTGCCCCCTCCCTCTTACCATCTTAGGAAGCCCAAGAAGGAGGCGTCAGATCCCCATTTTACAGAGGAGGAAAGTGACGCCCTCCAACATCATCCCCCCCGAGCGTCATCCCAAGCCAGGGGGCCCAGGGATTCGGGCTCTAGGAACCGGCACGCTCTGGCAATCCCCGCTGAAAAATCAACTCTTGCCTGCATGGGGCCCAGCACACAGAAATAGGTGCCTGCGAATATTTATTGCCCAAACGAACAGGCGCTTTCTTCCGAGTTGGGAAGCTGGCCCAGACACCGGCTCCGGGCTGCAGCCGCGGTGAGGAAGGAGCCCCTCTGCCCTCGCACACAGAAGCACGCACGCAGACAGCCGGAGAGTATGGAGGGGACCGGTACTTATAGCCAGGTTTGAGGAGTGGCCTTGGGGCTAAAAATAGACCAAGGGAAACACTAGGCTGGTTTCTCCCTGGACCGGAAGCCAACCTCCTCGCTCCTCAGCAGAAGGGAGACACGATCCAGCGATGCCTTCTCCAGGCCGGGCGGGAGCACCTTCCTTGGAAACCCTCGCTTCCCTGCTCTTCCTCTGGTTGCCAAGACGCACAATCAGACAGCAGTGTCTGCGAACAGGTTCCTGTGAGGCCTCCAAGGTTGGGGGGCCGGGGCGGGGGGAGGCGACCCTTTTACGGTCAGCACGTGAGGCCCCTCGGCATTTCCAAACCAGAAAGGAATGAAGAAGGCAGCGACCAGAGGCAGCATGGCCTTCACCACTGCACGCGTCAGAAGAGAGGGCAATGCCACCACACCCCTGAGAAGCCCGGCCTGGCTGCCTGCGTGGCCTTAACAAACAGCTCGGGGCCTCCGCAACTCAGCTCGCCTGACCAGGTTTCCAGATTGCAGTGTGTCCCCCTGTGAAGATAATTACACCACGGCTGCCATATTCCCAAACAGGATGGGGAAGAACGGTGGCTCTGACTCTGGAAAAACCATAACCCCTCACACAAAGAACCACAGCTGGAGGGGACGGGGGTTCACCTGGACCTTCCCCAGCCTCCACGAGCAAGGTGTCCAGCCAGGAAGGGTTTTCGCTGCTTCCCAAGTACCCAGGCCCCTCTTGGGGGCCTTGCCTGCCCACGATCCCCTAATAACAGCCCCTTGATTTTCTTTCATGAGCCAAACGCACGTTCACCTTCAGTCTGTGTGGCTCATGTATCACATAACTTCCCCTGGGCTCCAGAAGGAGCACCTGACCCAGAATAGGCCATCTGAAACATCACAAACCCATGGCAAAAACGACCGGGTCAGGGCCACTCGTGCGAGGCAATCGGAGCCTGTGAAATTCAGTTCTGGAACTTCCACATGGTGGGGTGGGGGGTCGCTGAGAGTCTCAGATAGAGAGTAAAATGTCAGCCACCACCTTGCTACTGGCCAGGGGAAAGGCTGCCAGACATTGAAGGAACACAGAGGAAACAGAGCCGCGAGGACAGCTAGTCCTGACGACACTGAGCCTCTGGATCCAGCCGTGCCTGAAGTCAGTGCCCTGGACCACATTGCAGTTACATGAACCAATATATTCCTTTATTATTATTATTTTTAACCTATAGCAGTTTGCTGGGATTCTGTCACGTATGTCCCAAGGAGTCCTGAATTATTAAAAGTCACTCATGGCTTCTTCCCCCTGTTCTAACATTCCTTAAGCCCCGGCTGAGGAAGAGACGCCCTTTTTTCCAGCCAGGTCTCCCCTCTGGCAGCTTCTCCTGCACCACCCACAGAAAAGAAAACCCGTAGCCCTGCACCAGGTAGGGAGACAAGACAGCAAAGCTTCTCTGGGCACACCCCTGATGCCCTGGCGAGCCAGAGGCGGCCAGCCATGCTAATCTTGGACCCCTCTGCAGACCTGTCTGAAAACCGGAGCTTCCTGAGGAGGGAGACGATGTCACAGAGGGAACAGTAGGAAAAGAAATAAGGAGGCAAAAGGGGTGATGCCAAGGTCCAGGGTAAAAGGGAGGCAGGGACTGCAAGAATTCAGACCAGGTCATGCTCTTGCTTAAACTAACCCACCAGTGGCCTCCCTCAGCACCAGGACTCAAAGCCAGGGCCTGCCCTGCCAGCTCCGGCCGCAGCCATGTCTCCTGGTGAGCCCACCGGTCTCCTCTGGTTCCTTAAACACCCGGAGCACTCCTGCTGGGTCCAAGCCCGGGACTCTGTCCCCACAGGGAGGCCTCCCTAGACACACTGGTCCCTCTCTGTCGCACTGTTTACTTCCTTCACTGAACACGTCACCGCCTACGGTTACCCTGTGATTGCTTGGGATCTGCCTCCCGAAGCAGCTGCCAGAGCCACAGGCTAGGAACTCTGTCTGCACTGTCCCCCCTGACCTTGTCCTCACACGTAGGGCACAGTGGATGCACACAGTGGGTGCTCAATATTCAGACGGAGGCGTGGGAGAAGGGTGAGAGGCACACAGGGAGGAGAGAGGCGTGGCAGGAGGGCTGAGGGGAGAGACGCAGGTGTTCGGAGGGAGTCGGGTGTTGAAGAACAGGCCTGGGACACGGCCGTGCACAGAGCTGCTGACACAGCCCTCGGGGCTGGGGGTGCTCGTTCCTGTGTGGGCGCAGGGAGGCCCCACCGGGCCTCTGTGTGCCCCCCCTGGCCCCAGCTCCCGGGCAGACTGGCTGAGGTGGGAGGTGGCCTGGGGTGGTCCCAGCTCTGGGACTACAGACGGGAGGAGGCAGGACCTCAGGCACCTGCCTCCTGACCTTCCTCTTCTCTAGTGGGAGCAGTGCCTGGCCTGAGTCCCAGGGAGCCGGCCGCCCCTTCCTGTCACCTCTGCCCACTCACCAGGCAGCTCTGGGACATTCCTCCAGGTCTCCCTGGAGCTCCAGCGGCCCTGCTCCCCTCCCCACGTCCCACCACTGCCCGTCAGGCTGCCCGTGGGGGCAGGACCGGCCTTAGGAGAAGGAGAAGGGGCAGGAGTGTTCAAGGGCATGGCCAGTGGCCCCCTGCCTGCCACGTGCACTCACCTCGCGCGTGACCTTGCCATTATTGTCAAAGTCGTACAGGGTAAAGGTCCACTCCTGCCGGCTGTCCTCTTCCACAGACACGTCACATTGTAGCTCCTGGGCATGAACAGACAACACACGGGCGTGGCTGGAGCGCCCAGGGGCCAGGTTCTGGGGCTGCCACCTCCCTGCTGCTCTCCCCAGACCTTGTGTGAAGGAAGAGCAAAATGACCGAGACGTGAGGGATCAGAGGGGAGGCCAGGCTGGGCACCGGAGGTCTGGCCCAGGGAGGCGTGCCCACAGGGGTGCCAGACCGCATCTGGGTCTTTGGAGGCAAAGGAAACACCAGGGGTGTGAGTCAGGGGTGTGAGACGAGGCTTCTTTGTGGCCTCAGGGAAACTAAACCTGGACCAAGGGACAGAAGTTACTGGAAGACACAGGGCCCAGTAATGAGAGGCTATGGCAGGACTCCCAGGGTGGACACCTGACCCGGAAGGCAGGAGAGGGTGAGCATTAAAAGGTAAAGCTCCAGGTCAGCCCCAGATGCCAGCCAGTGCTTAGCCCTCCACAACGGTGTGACCCAGGGCATGGCTTCTCTGTGCCTCAGTTTCCCCTCATATAAATCATGGAAAAGGACAGTACTGTTCTCCTAAGGCTGTTGGGAGCATGAAGTGCCCCGCCCCACATCCCCTCGGCTTTCCCCTGCAGCCATGGTGGACAGTTCCCCGACCTCCCACCCCAAGCATCCAGCTTCTGTGTCTGAGTCCCGGCTGCCCTGGCGGGGATCCACCCATCAACCCACTGGCATTGGCTTCCCTCCATTCCTGCTCCCTGGGATCACCTCCCAAGTCCTTGCCTCAGGGTCCACCGTGATGGAACTGGAAAAGCGTGGAACTGCTTGGCACACAGAGAAGTCCAATTAATGGTAGTAGCTGCTGTGATCTTTGCTGTAGTGCTAACATAGGATGTATGTAATGTTAACAATGACTTCATTATCATCGCTCACATAGCCCAGCGTGTCTCACCACAGGGACCCGAGCTGGGAGGTGGTGAGCTTGGTCACTGGCAGCACGTATACAGGGGCCAGTGGAACACCACATAGAAAGTTCTAGAAAGGTGGGCTATTTTGGAAAAGAGAGTCACAACGTTCCATAAAAACAAGCGACGATGCTCCCAGACCACTCTGTGCCACGTCTTGCCTCCGCTCCCCTCTCCTTTTGCAGGAAGACAGGCTCGGCACCCCCAGAGAGGGGTGGTACCTGGCCTCTGAACGCAGGCAGGAATGTGCCCGCGCACGGCGTCCCTGCCCCCAGCCTCTGCAGCTCGAAGCCAGTTCCCTCCAGCAGTCCTCGGGCGGCCCACGCTGAGTTCAAAGTCGGCCTTCCCTCAGTTGTGACATGCCCGTCTGATACCTGCCAAGTGGCCACTCTGCTCTGCGAGGCACCGTTTCATGTAGCACAGCACTTGCCCTGCACACACACACACACACACACACACACACACACACGCACGCACACACACACACAGCGGTTACCCGATTCCTTCTCCCTGGCCCTTGTGCTCAGCCCCGAAGACAGCTCAGGGCTGAGTAACTATCCCTACCCCCACCTCCCTCAAGCTCTGTCATGTGCATTTTTTTGTCCTCGTGCCCCCACTACTGGGACTTCTCAGGTGAATCCTCCTCATGGGCCCTGGCTGAGTCCCAGGCAGTCGACCCGGCCCTTTCCAGAAACAGGCCTCCAGGGAAGCGAGACATCAGAAGCCTGCCCTCTGAGCTGCCGACCACCCCAGAAGACACTAGGGACGCCGGTGGGCCCCAGCGCGGAAGCTGGCAACCTCAGCTCCCCGACCAGGTTGTGCTCACCCGCCTCAGCTCCTGCATTCGGGGCCCGCTGTGACCTTTCACCCTCTCCCGTGTCATCCCCCCGAGCCCCCACCGTCACCACTCAGCACAATGCAGCTTGTTATTCCCACACAACGTGTGGCACCGGCAGGCCTCTGGGCCTTTGGTCCTGCTATTCCCTCGGCCTCAAGTGCTCTCCTTACCCCAAAGGCTCCGTGTCATGACCTCTCGCGACTCCTACTCCTGCACTCAGAGGCTCCACTCAGACGCCCGTCCTCTCCCACCCGTGCTCGCAGCCACCGCTGCGCAAAAAGTCTGTCACACCGCATCCCTCCAGCCTGACTCAGGTGACCACCCCCTCCGCGTGCTCCTAGGTCCCCATCCCATCGCCGGCTGTGCAGTTCCTGGGTCTGTCCCCTGTGAGGGCAGGAGCCCTGCCCAGGTCACTGCTGGGTCCCCTGGTAACCAGCAGCTGTCAATCAAGCTTGGTCGGAAGGAAGAAGGAAAGTGCTTCTGTGAGACTGGGACACCCTTTTAAGCACGTTAGATGCATTAACTCACCATACTTACAATACCCCGATAAGATGGATACTGCTCCTACCCCCCATTTCATAGGTGAGGCCAGTGGGGCAGTGGCAGAGCTAGGAAGGGAACCCTAGCCTCCTGGTTCCAGAGCTATTTGTGGTCTCGTGGAGGAAAGTAGAGAAGGAAGAAGGGAGGGGGAAAGGAGGGCAGAGAGAAGCTTCCAGAAAGCGCCGTGCCGATAAGCCTGGGTTTTGCTCTCCAAGCACCTGGCCCTGCTCGGTGCAAAGAAGGAGCTTAATACCCTACTTGGGATGGGGCAGGACAGACAGACTGCAAGCTCTGGGAGGGCGTGTTCCTTGTGCTGTTCACCACACAGGGAAACTGAGTCCCAGATAGGGTCAGGGACCTGTCTAAGCCCTCCTGCCCCCTGGGCACCAGCCCATGATGAGAACAGGCCCCAGGAGTTGGACAGGAATTGTTTCTCTCACTGGTGAGGAAATCTGAGGCCCAGAGAGGGAGGCGGTCACCTCGTACAGTAATGGCTGCACCCCCGTCCATGCTCGCGTCCTTCCCCCGGACCACCGGGCCACAGCCCAGCGGGGGCCTCTGGCCACCACCCCACGCTGCACGGCTAGGGGCCAGGGCCGAGTGGGGTGGCAGCGGGGAGTCCTCAGGGCCTGTGCTGAGCTGGGGCGGCCCCAGACGTGGCAGGACAAACCTCCCACAGAGGACCGCTGTTCACACAGGAGGTGAAGGGCCTTCACATCTGGAAGGGCCGCAGCCTCCCTCCTCGAAAAGTACCACTGAGAGGAGAAAACCCTTCCCTCCAGAGTCCGCGCCAGGAAAGGAAACTTACTTCAAATTTCAGCTGCTTCTTGGGACCCGGGCAAGATTCACTCGCCTTCTCCCTCCTCTTCTCGTCTCCACTGGCCAGCCCGTCTGTCTTCTCGGGAGGAAGGGCCACTGCGGGGACGGCAGGGGAAAAAGTATGAGGACAGTCCCCAGCAGGGCCGTGGGGCCCCCGTACCCACCGCGGCTTTGTTCTGGGGACCGTGTGCAGGACCGCCAGGGTGCCGGGCCCCTCCTGTCCGGCCGGTGTGGAGGCCAAATGACTTTGTGCTCTTTGGGCTCTGATAACATCCAGGGCTGCCGAGGGCAGACCGCTCCCGGGATGCATCTGTGCCAGCCTCTCAGATCACCCAGTGGGCCTCTCAGACCTCCATCCCCTGCCCCAACGTTACAGCTCAGAGAAGCAGCCTGCAGCCGGCCAGGGCAGTGCCAGACCACAGAGGGGGGTCGCAGACCAGGGCCGCTTTCCACACAGTCCTGCTGCCTTCCCTGCTGACATCCTGGCCTCCTCAAAGACGCCACCTGCCTGTGCCCAGCACACCGGTGCGTGGTCAGGAGGAGTGAGGGAAACGGGGAGCGCAGTGCCTCTCTCAGCCAGTCCGGGGAGGTTTAGTCTCTGCTTGGGCCCGGATCTTTCTGACACTATGTGTGACCCAGGGCGGGTCACAGAACTTGTCCAGATGTCTCAACTAGTCTCCCCCGCTGTAACACGGGGATCATAACAGTCCCCTCCCCAGAGGATCCCTGTGTGGACTGAATGAGCTATGACTGTGAAAGGCCAAGGCCCTAGGGCCAGCACACAGGGTCCTAGTGATTAGTAGTGTTGGAGGAATGATGTCTCCCCTGCCCCCCCGCCCCCGACTCAATCTCTTGGGAATCAGCACAGCTGTTAGCTAAGTTTTCTCAAAACTGAGGCTTCTGGAATACAAAAGGACACAGAAGCATCCTATCAAACACAGGCAGCCTGGCATGGGGAGCAGGACAGGGAGGGAGGAGCTGACGATAAGGACGCTCGGGTCACCAGTCCAGACAGGCGGGGACAGGAAGGCCGTGGCGGCAACCGACTGACCTGGCCCCATCCATAGCTCCCCTCCCGCCTGGGCCTGAGCGCCCCCTTCTTTCTGTTCACCCCGGGCACACCCAGAGAGACGCGGGGAGCCCCCCGGCCCGCGATGCCCCCACAGCAAGGCAACCATTCTCTAGGGCTGTCAGGGCAACCGTTCCCCAGTTGCAGTCGCAGACCCCAGCTCCCTTCTGGTGCTTTCACAGAATGCAGCCAAGGAGGACATAGGGAGCACTTGATGGGGCGAAGGCGACCAACGCTGGCTGCTTCTGATATACTGGGTAAGACCAGGCCCTGCCCTCCCTGCTCCTCCAAAAGCAGAGACCGCAATGGCCAGGAGGTGTGCCACTCCAGTGTGACCCGAGCCCCGGGACAGTCAAGTGGGCAACCAGCCAGTGACCCGAGGACAGCCAAGCACACAGCCTAGGCCACCCTGACTCCCCCGTACTGGCGACCCGCTGGGCCAGAGCAGCCGCCACCATGGAACCAGACAGGGTACAAGGCAGAGTCGCTTCTACGAGGCGACAAATAAGTAGGCACTGCTGTCACCTCTATTTAAAAGAAGGCAAAGAGGTCGAGAGGCTTGTCTGAGCGAGTCGGGGGGCTGGGTCTCTCTCCATGCCCAGCCGTCTGCTCTAGGAGCCCCCCAGCACCTCTAGGGGGTGCCAGTGAGCTCGGCGGGAGTGTCCTGGTTGTGAGGACCGACGTCCTGGGTCCATATCCTGACCCTGCAGCTGGCTGGCCTGGGCAACTTTGGGGTAAGGTGCTGGACTTTTCCGGATCTCAGTCTCCTCGTATGTTAAATGGGGATGAGATGGTTTCTTCCCCACAGAGTTATGGGGAGGAGGGGGACACGGTGAGAAAAGTGCCTACTTAGCACGGCAGCTTACGGGCGATAGGTGCTCAGTAAACACTGGCTTTTGCAAATGATGGAGATGACCCATGAGCCCTGCGGATAGCCCGGATCCCAGTGCCCCCCTCAGCCCAAAACCGCCCCACTGGAGAAACCATGGTGCTCTCCTGACCTGCAACATCTTCTTTTCAGCCTCCCTGCAGGGCGGGGAGAAGAAAGAGAAACAAAGGCCAGCCCCATCTTCAAAGCTGCAGCTCCCTCCACAGAGGTCCCGGCTGGAGATGTAAGCCAGCCAAGCTTATCGAAGCCAAACTTCAAGTTCAAAGAGAAGTTATCAGAAAACCACCTTCAGGTTCAACATTGCCTTTCAAGTTCCACTTGATAAAACCCAAAGAAAAGAAACCTCTGTCCCTGCTCTCTCCTTTTCTGGAGCACACCCCCCCCCCTCCACATACAGGCCCTCCTCCCTTCCACTCCCCTCCTCTCTCCTCACCCGGGGCGGGGGAGGGGGGGTGTGGGAAAAAACGTCCCCTCCACCGCTCACCCTCTTTATGTGTCTTCTCTAAGGACAAACGTGGTCTGGATTGCCTTCTCTTCACCAGGGGGTCCCTCATCCCATCCCAGCTCAGAAAACCACCCGGACACCCATGGGGCTGGCCACCGACAGGCGGGGGGAGACTGGGAGCCACCCTGCCCCAGAGCCCTGGGGGCCGGGAACAAGGAGAGTAAGCACCCTTTGTCCCCACCAAAGGCCCTTCACCTGGTCACTGTCCCCTGCCCAATGGCCAGAGGAGGTACCAGAGAGCTGGTCAGAAAGCCTGGCGGACCCCAGTGTCAGAAGGAGGGACTGGAACTCCTGTGAGTTCTACACCCACATGTGAACCCTCTCGAACCAAACAGCATCAACTAGCCCCCGGCCCCACCTGCCGTGTGCAGAACAAACCGCCCTCTATCCATCAACCCCGAGGCTCACGGGCAGGCACAGCAAGGGTAAAGGGTGCTCACCTCGGGCTGCCCAGGTCCCACCAACCAGCAAAGAGAATGGCATTTTTGTCAAGATGGACTTTGGCTCCAGATTTCGAGCCCTTTCTCTGTCTCTTACTCCTGTTCAGCCCAGCGGATTTTTTTTCCCCCCGGAGATGATCTTTTGGGGGGCATAATTTCAGAGGCACTCTGATCACTCTTTAATCATTCACAGTAACAGCTGGCCATCCAGCTAATTTCAAAGAAGAAAGGAGGGCTGGAGGAGAGGTAGGAGAAGAAGGAAGGAAAGGGATAGACTGAGGAGGAAAGCAAAGCCTTCAAGTTCAAAGACTCGTATTCTGGGTTTATATTCTGGGCTCACAGTGTCTGTGAAGTACCTTTGGATGAGAGAGCAGGACGCCCTGGGAGCCAAACCCACCCAACGCCTATTTTTGTAAATAAAGTTTGAGTGGCGCACAGACACGCTCATGTGCACCGTGTGTGGGTGCTTCACTCTACAACGCAAAGTTCAGGAGTCACGACAGAGACCGTATGGCCCATAAAGCCCAAAAGATGTACTCTCCCGGCCCTTTATAGAAAAGACTGCGGGGGCACCTGGGTGGCTCAATCGGTTAAGTGTCTGACTCTTGACTTCAGCTCAGGTCACAATCCCACAGTTCGTGAGATCAAGCCCTGTGTCAGGCTCTGTGCTGACAACGAGAAGCCTGCTTAAGATTCTCTCTCTCCCTCTCTCTCTCTGCCTCCCCCTCAACAATCAATCAATAATCTTTTTTTAAAAAAAGAAAAGATGGTGAACTGTACTTAGGTAAATGCAGCCCTCCCTCCCCGCTAGGGTACCCTGATAAGCAGGGTGCAGGCTGGATTTCACCTGCTGGTCACCTGCTTAACTGGAAACTCTTGTGCAGTACACAACCTGCCCAACCATACACAGCAGGCATGGAAGAGAGAAAATGTCAACTCTGCTTTCTTAAAACCAATTCTCAGCTCAGATGAGTCTGGGGGGCAGTGGGTAAGCTCCTTCTCCTCGGAAACTACTCCCTGTCCTTCCTCACACCATGGCTGCGAGGAGCCTGCTGGCTGTGTTTACCAGATGATGGCTCTCTCCCACATTAGCTCCCAACCTGGCATCTCTCCACCCCCAGCAACTGCCAGATTAAATGCATTACTTGACCATCTTCACCCGGCTCCCTTTGATGTTCCCTTCTCAAGCTTCAAAATACCTTTTGGAGGGAGATCAGACAGCATTAAACAGAATTACTAATTAATTAAGCAAAGTTAAATTTTAAACACTGTTTGTTGTGTTAGCCAAAAGCCTGAACAGAACAGACTTTTTTCCTCCACTGAGATCAAAGACAGTCTCTTCCCTGTCCCTCCCCCAGTTTAAAAAGAAGAGGGGGCTGGGGAGGAAGAGAGGGAAAGAAGAGAGTGCAGGGGAGCGTCAGTAAGCAAGGAAAGACCCAAGTGGGGGCGATCTTTGGGGGTGGCCGTGGAGTCTAGACTCCCAGCCCTCACCCTGCACCACCAGTCCCAATGGGAGGCATCAACAGCTCATTTGGGACTGCATGCTGGGAGAGCCACGGTCACTTTCTCAAGACTGTTTAGCCTGGCAAATAGCAGTGACCCAGGGAGCCGGATGGCACAGCCCACCCAGCCAGAGCTGCTGACAGCCGGCGCCACCCAAACAGTGTGAGACTCAGGCTGTGAAATAAAACAGACCCGCCCTCCCGCAGCCCCACCCTCCCTGGCACCCAGGTGGGACCAGCACCTCAGCGTTCTTCCCCAAGGGGCCTGGGCTCATCTGAGAAGCAGGTTGTGTACTGCACAACTCTAGGGGACTCCGTTCACAGGCTGGACCCCAGATGCCTGTGTACTGCTGGTGACAGTTTTCAGACAGACGGCAGAAAGGTGTCTTGAGGGGGGCTCCTTTCTCCAATTTGCACAAATGCATTTGTTACGCGCAGAGCACGGTCTGTCCCCACCTGGACTAGCCCTTCATTCTGCACAATCTGATCTGGGGTCTCTTGACAGCTTCACAGGAGCCTGCCACATGCCGGCAGGCAGACTGCAGGTCTCGTGGGAGCCAGGGTCCTGCTGGCTAGTGCCCCTGGGATGCCCAGAGCACACAACACGTACCACCCATGCACAGGGCAACCATCCCACCCCAGTGTGCTCAACTGCACCAAATCCCATAGGCAGACGCAAGGAAGCCTGCAT